AGACAGAGAGAGGGAGAGGCAGAGGGAGAAGCAGGCTCCCTGCTGAGCAGGGAGCCCGATGCGGGACTCGATCTCATGACCCTGGGTTCATGACCTGAGCCAAAGGCAGACGCTTAACCATCTGAGCCACCCAGGCGCCCAACATTTCTTTTTTTTAAAGATTTATTTGTTGTAGAGGGGGGGAAGGGGTGGATGGGGAGGGAGAGGGACAAACAGACTTGGCCCTGAGCATTGAGCCCCATGTGGGGCTCTATCTCAGGACCCTGAGATCATGACCTGAGCTGAAACCAAGAGTCGGATGCTTAACCAACTGTGCCACTCAGGTGCCCCAAGAACTTCAACATTTCTTGTAGCACAGACTTGCCGATGAATCCTCTCAACATTTTTTGTCTAAAAAAATTTTTTTAGTTCATTTCCATTTTTAATGGATATTTTTGCTGAGTGCAGAATTCTAGGTTGGCAGTTTTTTCTTTCAGTACTTTAAAAATGTCACTCCTTTGTCTTCTAGCTTGTGTCATTTCTTTTTTTTTTTAAGATTTTATTTATTTGAGAGAGAGAGAGAGAGAGAGAGCACAAGCAGGGGGGAGGGGCAGAGGGAGAGGGAGAAGCAGACTACCCACTGAACAGGGAGCCTGATGTGGGGCTCAATCCCAGGACCCCAGGATCATGACCTGAGCTGAAGGCAGGTGCTTAACAGACTGAGCCACCTAGGCACCCCTAGTTTGTGTCATTTCTAATAGGAACTGTAGTCATTCTTTCCTTTGTTCCTCTTTACAAAATGACTTTTGGACGGGCAGCTTTAAACATATTCCTTTATCACTGTGTCTCACAAATTTGATTATGATGTGCTTTGGTGTAGTTTTCTGTTGGGTTCATGAGCTTTTCTGATCTGTTTTCTAGTTTTCATCAAATTTGGAAAAATTTTGGCCATTGCTTCTTGAAATATCAACCCCCCCATGTGTCCCACCCCCCCGCCCCGTGCAACCTCTGACTTCCTGGGGCTCCAATTACAGACACCTTAGATTGCTTGATACTGTTCCACTGGTCACTCATGCTATATAAATATTTTTTTCATTTCATTTCAGATACTGTGTTTTTCATCTCTCAAAGTTCTATTTGGTCATGTTTTCTTCCCTTTCCCTCTTCGTTATGTTTATGTTTTCCTTTGCATTCCTGAGTATCTGGAGCATATTTATAATAGCTGGTTTAGAAGCTTTCCTAGTTCATCATCTCTGTCATTTCTAGGTTTATTTATATTGATTGACTTTTCTCCTAGTTATGGATTATATTTTCTGCATGTCTGGTAATTTTGTTTGGATCTCGGGACACTGGATTTTTATGTTTTGGGGTGTGGGATTTTGTTGTATTCCTTCAAAAATATTGGCCTTTTATCTGACAGGCAGTTAAGTTAGCTGGAATCAGTTTGATCCTTTTGAGGCTTGCTTTTCTGCTTTGCTAGGGTGAATCAAAGCAGTCTTCAGACTAGGATAATTTAGCACCACTACTTGGGTGATTCCCTTCTGAAGACTTCATCTTATGTCTGGAAAATGCCCATCCCTATATGAGCTCTGGGCATTGTATGTCCCACTGCTTTATGTTGGTTCTTTACTCAGTCTTGGGAATTTCATCCAAATATATGCAGATCAGAGGGCACCTGGGTGGCTCAGTTGGTTAAGTGTCTGCTTTCAACTCAGGTCATGATCCTAGGGTCCTGGGATCGAGTCCTGCATCTGGCTCCCTGCTCAGTGGGAAGCCTGCTTCTTCCTCTCCCTCTACTTGCTACTCCACCTGCTTGTGCTCTCTCTCTGTCTGTCAAATAAATAAATAAAAATTCTTTAAAAAACAAAAAACAATAAAGAAATATATGCAGATCAGGATTCAGCCAATTTTTTTGAAGGGTCTCCTCTGCAGATTTCTTGAGAGCTCCCCCTGGACACCTTTTTCCTCTCTAGTACTCTGCCCCCAAAAGTAGCTTCCTCAATCTGCCAGCACTTTTCCCTCAACTCAGTGAGACAACTGGGTGATATTTAGATTTCCTATATCTGCGTTGTATTCTGGAAACTGCCTCCATGTAGTAATCCTGGGCTAAGGCTCACCTCATTTGTTTTCCTTCTCTTAGGAATCCTAGCCCTTTATTGCATGTTGTTTAATGTCTGAAAAATAGTTAAGTTTCATATATCTTGCCTGTTTTTCTAGTTGTTTATGGTGGGACAGCAGTTTCTACAGTAGTTAGTCCTTCAGGCCAAAAGCAACTGTCCACTATACTTGTCCACCACTTTTGTGACTATTATTGGAAATGTATGCTTCTCTATGATCTTCAAGGTCATTATCTCCTGTTACAAAAACCCTGCTCCATATTATAAGTGAAACATGGAACTTGTATATTACCTTTCGAAAGTTGATATTTGCGCCAAATGTACAAAAGCAATAGCAAGTTTGCTGATGCATTGGCAGGAACCAAAGCAGTATCACTGAATTGCACAGGGAGTCCTATTCGTCATCCGCCTGCAATCACACACACAAAAGCCAGTTTCACTCAAGAAATGTTCTTAAACAAAGTAAAAATTAATTTTACCAACTCTTGACACATGAGTAGGCATGTTTTTAATACTCTGTGTGATGGAACGGGAAGTACACATAAGCAGTTCTGCTGCATACTGAAGTATGATGGTTGGCTTCAGGAACAGTGCTGTGTAATTGTTTGAACTGCAAGCTGAACTAGCCCTTTTCTTCATGGGGCACTACTTTTACTTAAAAGAACAACCAGTGGACAAACACAGTTATTCAGATTTGGGTATTTGGTGGATGTTTTCTTGCAAATAAACAAAGTGAGCCTGTCTCTTAGAGAAAACAACTGACAATATTTGTTGCTGATGATAAAATATGAGCTTTCAGTGAAAATTAGCATTTTACAATTAGTAAATTGTGTCTGCCAC